GAGGCCTGAGGTCTCGCGAGTGGGATTCCGTGTGCCTTTTCGGATATTACAGCGGTCTGGAGAGCGTGGAGGAGATGAAGAGCAAGCTTCGGTGGGCTCCGACGTCGAAGTGGCGTTGCCTAATTGGGATCAAAGAGAGTCGGAGTGAATGAGAGTGGGCTATGACGCATATATCGTCCACTGTGAGGACATGGTGATTTGTGCACATTTGCGATGTCCACAGCCGACCATCGATATCAGTGCAAAGACCAATGAAAAACGTCCAGCGATCGTCGCATCAGAAAGGTACGAGTTGGAAAGGCCGAGGACAGCCTCCCGACAAGCTGACTAAGGACGTTCGCATGGCGGGACAGGGAGCACTGAATGGATATTCCAGGGATGGCGGCGAAGACGGCGCAGAGCGTAGCCGGACATATCGCGGGACCGCAATAAGAAGTCGAGGAGTATATTGATTGGGCAGGAACGACCCTGACGGCTGCTGTTTCCCCGCATGGCAGACTAGAACCCAAGCACTGAACCGCACCCCCTTTGCTAGCCGATGCTCAGGTCGTTTAAAGCTCTCTCTTGTATATATTCCACCACTTCCACTCTCATTTTCTCCGGCCCTCCCTTTTCCTACACCCCTAGCCCGTCCACCTCCTAACTTCATCCCTTTCCCTACTCACCATGGCGGCTGTCTTCAACATTGACAAGGCTGAGCTGGTCTCCATTTTCGTGGAAGCCCTGTTGTATGGTCAGCCCACTTTCCTATCGACTCACCTCTTCGTACCGATGCTCATGCGACTTTCAGGCATCTTCGTGGTTTTGTTTATCGCTGCCGTCTGGATTCTCCTATTCCGCCGCTCAACGGACCACGTCAACAAGCCCATGTTGGTCGCCGCAATCCTCATGTTCATCTTTGCGACGACAGTCAGTACCTGCATGCTCTGACTCTTGACTCCGTCTCATGTGCAACCTCCTTCTCCCCTTTGTACACTCCACAGCATTTGATCACCAACTTTACTCGTATCATCGACGCCTTTATTCACGATCGAGTAACTCCGGGTCCGATCCGGTCGCTTCAGAACCAGACAACTGTCAAGAACCTCCTAAAATCTTCGGTTCTCGTAGCGCAGTTGATCACGGGAGACGCTCTTGTGGTTCGTATCACGCGTCATAAACACTGCCAAATACGGAATCTAACCTCGTCTTGTTCACCAGACTTACCGTACCTACCTGGTCTGGCATCATAACATCTGGGTTGCACTTGTTCCCGCTTTGTTGGTCATTGGAACCGTCGGTCAGTTTTTTTCAGCCCCACATTCACCGTCGTTTCACCTAATTCTGTAAAATAGTGACCGGCACCGGAGTTGTCCATGGACTTGCCACTATCAAGCCCACGGATCCTGTCTTTTTGGCCCAGCTCGCGTCTTGGATCACCGCCGAGCTTGTACTTACTTTCTGCAACAACATCATCAACACTGGTACGTTACCCGAAACACCGCGCCTCTATCTGCACTGACAATGGTCTACTAGGTTTGATCACCTACAAGATCTGGTCCGTCGATCGCAGAGCATCCAGCCGTGTTGAAGGACAGTCGATGCGCCCTGTCATCGCCATCGTCGTCGAGTCCGGTGCTTTGGCCGCCGCCACTTCCATGATCACGTTGATCACTTATTTGGCCGGCTCAAATTCGCAATACATCGTCCTTGACAACGTGGGTATTCGGCATGCCATAATGTGAACTACTTTCTAACTTCTAATTAGATGTCACCCATCACTGGTATCGCGTTCACACTCATCATCGTCCGCGTCGGTCTCGGCCTTGCCAACTCCGGTACTACCTCGCGATACAACACTGGCGGCGTCTCTGGTGCCAGTGCTATGCACGGACGTAAAGGCACTCAATCAACTGGCTCCTACATGATCCCATCGCGGTCTCAGAACCGTTACCCTCTTCAACCTCTCGCCGTTCACATCACCACTGAGCAACAACACTCGGATAGCACTGTTGACATGGACAGGGATTCGGAATTCCAAGACCACAAGTCGTTAAACAAGTCATGGTCACCTGCGTAATCATCCCATCCCCTTGTTTCTTCACGTCTGGCCGCAGACATTCATCGCCTCTGCGAAGCGGCTGCTCGCCCCCCATCCTACCCCACGCCGCATCGCTCATCCCTCCTGCACCGCCGCCACTCGCAAAAACCCATGTCGGGTACATATATCCGACGTCGTTCATTCTATCGCTCTAATTGCTCGTGCTCTTCCTCATTGTCCGCTATCTTGTCTCATCATATCTTTGGTTTGTTGTCTTCTATACATCATTGTGTCTATTCCTCCATCTATGCCCACCACCTATGGCGCATCCCCGCCCCACACTCCATTCATCCCGACCATCTTCATTCTCTACCCCTACCTGTCTGTACAACCTTCCTCATTTCATTTCATATCCCCATCTTTTCGGTGATATTCGGAGGTGATATATGGAATTCCGGGCTTTGGCTTTCTTTCTCTTTTTTGGATCCGTGATATAGCTGGAATGGTGTACTGGAGGACTTTTTGGTATTATCTCACTATTAGAAAAGCTTGTTGTTCTTAGGTCTAGATAATCAAAGGAAATAAAATTTAAACCCAAAACTGCTATGGAGTCGGGAGCAATTTGTTTATTGCGAGGAAATTGCGATCATATTCCGTGGCCGGCCGGTTTCAAATTTCGAGAGCCCGCCGCGAAAACGCATGACCCATCGCCGGCAGAGGTTAACGGCATATCTCACGGACTACCAGATACCTCCGACTGAAGATCTGGATCGGGCTCCTCAGATCCTCAAACAAGATGTTATCTATCATATCTTCATTCGCCTCCGCTCCCAAACGAAACTCAACACAGACATTTGACATCCTCTTGTGCTCGAACTTGTTTCAGAATTCACTGGGTGATGACGTTACACCATGTCAATGTCAGTCGTATACATCGATCGATGACCGGAAATGGGAGAGTCGTTCCCACTGATCACACTACTCATGTTACCTTATCTAGCTGATGATAAAGTTTTAGGTGCATTGATATCGTCACTCAAAGCCTCCCAATCAGCGCACCCCTCTCAACCATTCAACGAACTTGAGTCGGCCGAACTTTGGTTAATCCGTTCAGCCATGTCTTGCAATCAGACTCGAACAGGAACTTGGCACTGAGATTGCATCCTTCGACAGGATAGGTTGTCAGCGTTTGCGTGTGAGGCACAGCATCCCTGACGACCTGTCTCTGGAGACAGATTACTGCTGATTGACTATATGAACGCTTCTGACGCGGTATCGGTGCCTCAGGCTGCTCCGGGTCTCAGGACGCTAGGATCCCAGGGAGGCTGCTATAGCGCTATCTACAACCAGTCTCAAGCTCAGGCCTTAGAGTTCATCACCCGTCTTGATCGGATGATCAGCCACGCCCAACCGATGGGGAACTACTAGTAGAGGGAGGATGTCGTCGACTATTGAAGCCTTCGGTATCTCCATTTTCCAAATATGCCGTCGCGTAGAGCTCGACATTGCTCCCGACCACTGTTTCTCCGCGGTCATAGCACAGAACACCCTTTGAATCCTGTGGTTCATTGAAATTCTCAATTACCGTCGTCTCACTGCTGATGACGACTTGATGAAACTGTTGAAATTTCCTCACGCTCAGTACTTTGAATGTGGCTCGGTATCCTAAATAAGCTCCCTTTACCCCGCATCGGGAGTGGCTACTCGATGATCTCAAGCTGATCTATTGGTCATGGGAAATGCTGGATTCTTCTTGTATGAGGGAAAGACCTTCCGCGATTCATTTATATTCATTATCGAGTCCAAATATTAATCTCCGTCTCGACGACATCATTGGCTTATGATTGCTTTCAGCCGGTCTTGAATGCCTGGGTGCTCGTTTTGAAGTCTCCCATCCTTCTCGACAGGTTTCACTCGAGACGAATTATCGCAGATGGTCCCTCCCTCATATCATGCTCGAGTTCATTGACCGATATACACCTCCAGTACCTTTTACAGGACCCCCCAACCCCCCAACCCCCCAACCCCCCAAAACTTGGCCTGAAACTTCCGGCGAATCTAGGAGAGGATGATGCAAAGATCGCACCCTCGATCACTACCAGTACCTTCCGCGCGAAGAAAAAAAAATCTCGGAAAACCTTGGCTATTGCGCAACCATGAATCCAAGGACCAACTTCACCTTCGACTGATTTCCGCGCATCTTAATTCTGTCGGCTACATCGAAGTTCGTGGAACCCCGGTTGTGCCCTCTGCCGGTGCAGAGACCGTCGACCCTTTCGCCAGCAATAAACGCGATAATATCCGTCATCTTCTAGCCGCCTCCTTCATCAGAACTTTCTTACCGTGCCTGGAAAACCTGAAGAGGGTCCTATAGAGGCCCCGGATTGTCAGACGTTAGGGTATCTAGGGTATCACGAAGCGAGCAATTTCAAATCGTGCGGCTTCTTCGTCTCTTTGATCTCGAAATGGCAAGTTTACCTTTTTAGGCTCGACGGACACCTACCCCGCACTTGGCCAGTCCAGGTTCCTGTTCCTTTTACGAAAGCCTTCTGTTACGTGGAAACCTGCGCTTTGATGAGACCTTGAGAGTCTGTGCGAATTTCCGAGCATACAATAGTACAGTATTACATGTATAAAGAGCTACAGCCTGCAGCACAGCGTTAGCCGTGAATAAAGTTTACTGCAAACGTTGTCGCTCTGCATCAGCAGAGTGATCGCAAACTCCGAAATACTCGTCGCAGTAACCATAGAGTACCTCGAAATGAGTTCAAATGACAAAGATTGCTATGAGGGGCAGTTCGAGGAGTAGCTCACACACAAGCTAGTCTGTCATGCAATCTCAGCACCGTTATCAACTTCTTGAATCGTACTGGATGCCGCTCAATACTGTAGACCACTGACTCGATCAAAAACGATATCGTCAGTGTCCGGCCTTCAGTAATAAGAAGCAAGGCATAAGAGAATCAAAAGAGTCAAAAAGTGGCCCGTACGGGGGTCGAACCCGCGACCTTGGCGTACCGGAAGAAGTCAGGGACTTGCTCGGATATTAGCACCACGCTCTAACCAACTGAGCTAACCGGCCATGTGTGTCTTACTTTACTTGCGGTATAAGACCTCACCCTTCAGGTTCGATGTGGATTCTATGACAGTGCCATCGTTGTCAAGTGAACCTCGATGGCAACCAAAAACAGATTCAGTATCTTCTTATTCTTTGTCAAAGCGATAACTATTATACATGATCAAGTATGCGTATGCGTATAAAACGTTACAGAGAAGAGGTCAGTCGAGGAGAAAAATGAGCGATTGAGGTAGTAGACTCGTTCAGAAGCATGAAAACTCGGCGTCGTCGGACACGCGCTCTCAAGTAGTTTCTTCAGTCCAAAAGCCAGGTATAACCTTCAAGACATTATGGAAATACCACCAACCGGGCGCGATCTCTCGATCTGCACTGGTGTCGTAAACGTACCCAATCTCATCTGAGTCGCTCGCGTTAGCTGAAGGGTTCTTCTTCTTCTTTCGCTTCTTCTTCTTCTCGCCAGAATTTGTGGAGCTCATATTATTCTGACCCTGTCCTTCTTGATCATCGTTGGGGCCGTTGAGATCCACCATCTCTGCATCTGCATCTGCCTGTGCTTCCTTCTCGGTAGGCCCTGCCTCTCGGGTCGAATCGGGAGCGGTTTCTTCGTACCCGGGTTTAGGGATGAGTTGGACGTATATAGCACCGATGAGCATTCCTTTCACGAAGACCTTGAGGATTCGAGGATCGACCAACACTCGAATTTTCTTCTCGCGACAATCTGTGTCACCTTCGGAGGCCTGTCCGTTCGCGTCGAAAATTTGCGGTTTGGGTTCGATACTGGACTTAGAGGCCCATTCTGTCCAAGGGCCCAACACGACGATTGCGAGTCCCTCGATGCCTTTACCGAAAGTGGGTGAAACGTCTTTGGGGCCATAAACTTCCAGGATACGGCGAACGTTGTTGTCTTCGATACACCCGACTCGATGGGAGTAGATGAGAGGAGGATCGACGATAGGACCAAAGAAAGAGAAGAGAGTGTGGACCGTCTCGGGAATATCCCATGTATTGACTTGTTTCTCTTCGGGCTCAGCGTCAAATGCAGTCGTGCCCCAAGCACTTTCCCCAGCCGTAGTGCCCCACGCGCTGGACTCGCCCCAACCGCCAGTTTCGAGAGCCGTAGATGATTGAGTAGTTGGTTCCCTCTCTTTGGAAGGATCGATGGTTTCCATGTTCAAGTTCTTGACTTCCTTCTCCCATTCCTTCTCTTCCTTTTGGGATCCATCGAGATCATCTTTGGCGTAGGGAGCATAGGGATTTCCAGCAACTTTCATGACGGCGTCTTTCCAACTTGGTATTCCCTGACAAGCCCTTGCGACTGAATCGATGAGGGCGCATGAGATATCGGATGTCGCAGGTAGTTCTATCATGGCACGGTCAATCAGAGAGATTGAGGCTTGGAAAGCCGCGGTATGCGTAGGTGAAGGAAAGACTTTGGATCGAATGAGATAAGAGATGAAAAACTTGGTGAGATGAGGGCCGTTCACGAGCTGTCGTGGATTCCTGATATGAAGTTTATTCTTCTGCAGAACGAAAATGAGTAAGCATGAGGATAACTGACCAGAAAAGACCTCTTTCATAGTAATGGGAGGAAAGAAAGACTCTCATCGAAGTCAAGGGATCGGCAAGGAAAGCCGCCATCCTTTTCTCTCGTGCTCCTTCGTCTCCAGCGCGCATCTCGGAATCGGCTTGAATCCCGTCTACGACAGCGCCATAGTCTTCTTGAGCAGTGCCAGGGGCCATTGGGGCAATAGCGGGGTCATCTCCAAAATCACTATCATCGTCATCTTCCTCTGCCTGGGCAGCCATATTGTCAGCGTGAAATTGACGCTTTTTCTTGCTCATGGGTCCTTGAGTTGCACGCCCTAGAAGGCCCACGAAAAGACGGAACTGTATTCACAAGTCAATACTTGTAACGAGTTAAATAATGACGAGGGCGTACGTTGTCGTACAACGACTGCAATTCGGGCGTGAACTTGCGGTTCTGTTGAGAGAACTCGAGGCCCGCATTCTCAAATCGTTCGAAGTCGGAGGCAAGTCTTGAATACAATCAGCCTTTCCTCTGGGATGCAGAAATTGAAAGTTGATCTTACTCAGACATTGGGCTAGCCTTCCTCAGATCCTCACCCTCAGCCCATTCTTCCCACCACGTCAGCCTCTTTACAGGTTCGCCTGGCTTTGCCTTAGTTTTCGCCTTTTTCTTCTTTCCCCCGCTGGATTCTTCGATCTTATGTTTGATAGCGAATCTGATGGTGGGTACTCCTTCGCCGTCCAATTCGCTTTCGCCCTCTTTCCATCCTTCCATTGGCATCTGGATACCACGAGGTTTGAAGTCTTTGAAAGATATCAAAGCAGGATTGAGATCTGGAGGTGGCTGAGGCAATGGGTCGAAGATGAAGACTAGATTGCCTTTGTCGTCCAACACCTGCTCGACGGGGGGTTTGGAGAGAGGCATCGTGGATCCGAGGAATTAGTACCTGAGTAAAAAGCGGGCTCCAGCGACTGTCACGGTTTTTTTAGTACGTAACGCAGAAGGCGTTCGACTTCAATTCAATCCGCGGCCGTAGTCCGTGTTCGAGGAAAACGACGGAGATTACGACGATTCCACCCCAATTTATTGAGATCTGAGATGATCAAAATTCTAGCGTTGATATTCCATTGTAAACGACACAAGATTTATCACTATCGAAGCTGTGGCTTACCTGCTTGGTCGTGATACAGGAAACAGGAAGCTGAGCGCGGTTGAGCGCGACCGGCGCTTGATTTGTATCCGCGAGTCATTGGCTGGCATACCAGTACTACGAAGCGATATAGTGTGTATAGACTTCCAAGCAAGTACACAACAAGAGTCCCAGCTCCTTAAGCACAGTTGTGTATACGCCCCTTTACAATACTACAAGTTCCAAAACGAACGACAAGGATCATCGCAATCTGTGTCTGATGTGAGCTACAGCACTGATCGCAACTTCTCTCTCCTTCTTCTCGCTCTCCCATCTCTCCACTGTTTCCTGCTGCGTGACGAGACCGAGCTCAAGCCATGAATGAAGCAGAGTCAATTTTCGCCGATATGGTTGGGGACAAGTCTCATGTTCGGAATGAGATCCACCAGCCAGCGAAAATGCGTCATCGACCTTGACGATCGTTGCTATGAGCAGGTCGGGTCACTGGGGTCAGCTTAGGAGCATCGTGCGCTCCGGGAGTACGTACCTGGTGCTGAAAGATAGTCTTTCGCCATCCTGATCAGCTGCTGCTCGCCCAAGCGGGCTTCCTCTAGCGCTTTCCAGTATGCAAGAGGAGCGCTCGTCTTGATAGTCGGTTCTGATAGATACTGAGTGAATGGATCTACCGCGGGAGAAGGTTGTTCGTATGCTTCGATATCCATCGAATCCTGAAGAGTTGATCAACGGACATCGTTGAATTAATTAACTGGGCACATACCGAATCGCTCTCTTGAGGAGCCACATTGGGCAGGTAGTATTTCTCCCAGATGCCCCTGACGGTCCCGACAGCTTTATCGATCCACTCCTGATCGTAACCTTTGGCTCTGAACCACTCAAGCTTAAATCGGGGATGAAGAACTGTTGTGGCATGTCAGAAGAACAGTCCAATGCATCTTTACCTGACATACTCATGGCAATGGTGTACATATCCGAGCCACCATTGTCAGGATAAAACTTTTCCAGCACTTTGATGACGTTTGAGGCTCCATGTCGGATGATCCGAGATGCTGTGTTGTCGTTGACGATGGCACCCAATCTCTCTCTGAGAGTTCTGATGATTGGGATAGTCTGATGGACCAGCGGAGCATCTCCCTTTGCCAAACTGACGAAGCAATCTTTGAAAGCCTGTTGATTTCTGATGAGGATGAAAACAGTCAAGGTGACAGGACGCACTTGGTAGGCGGGCATGATTTCTTCTGCAAGTGACCATTCAGGTTCTCTCAAGATGAATTTATCGAGCCCAAGGTCGGCGTAATTTGAAGCAGTGGTCAGTCGAATGACCGCGTCCTTAAGTTCGACATAACGTGCAATCGCATGCAGGTGGGTGATCCACATAGTTTGCACAGCTTCGAGTAGCGAGGTCACCCCGTCTGCTTTGTTCTTACTGCTGCAACATTCAGCAATGTATGTGTCATCTTTGTTCCGTTTGTTATCTTCGTTACGTATCTCTTCTTCCATCTTCAGAACAAAAGGGAGGCCCTTCATCTAGATCACGCATGAGCTCAGGACTCAAGAAAAAGGGAGGGAGGCCAAAAAGAACCTTCAGGAGCATGAATGTTCCAAGCTCCTTCTGGTCACTCGACAACTGACCAAGCTCCCGAATAGTCCGATCATTGATCCCTTCAACTTCTTCTATCAAGTCCTGAAGAGCCTTCTCTCCGAGCTCCGCTCTCGCTTCAAAGTCGTCGTCGGTCAACTTGATCTCCTCTTCAAGATCTATGTATTGCCAGATGATGCCAGTGGAGTTTTCGAATGTGTCGTCGATCACTCCTTCTTCGCGGAATACAAGCTCGAGTTCTTCGTAGTAGCGGAGAGGGACCTCTTCCCAGTCTGCTTCTGAGGCGGAAGAGGAGGATGAGGATGATGCGCCGATGTCCATTTTGACTTCTTCCGTCTGAACATGCTCCGATTTGACCTGTTCCAGTTTTACCTGCGCGGTCTTCGCTGTTGAGCCAGTGGCCGACGGATCCTTATCGGTTTCGATGCTGGAACTGTTGTCTTGCATTGGAGGAGTGCCTTCTTTCATTCTTTTCACCTCCACCTCCTCTTTGATACTCTCGTCGTCCTTCATCTCCCGCTTCCGCTTCTTCAACACCTCACCGGTCTTCTTATTCACGAGTTTTGTTCTGACCTTTCTTGACTCGTTATTTGTCGACAGTTCAAAAGGCCTGAGGAATGCCTAGAATTTTGGTGAGATCACATGGTGGATGTAGAATAAACCTTACCTGAGCAGCAAGGTTTAGAACATCCGCGAGACAACGAACGCGTGCGGAGTGTCCTCGAGTC